TACCACAGGCTGGGGGCGCGGGGCGCCGCCTCCAGGTCACAGGCAGAGGGACCCGCAGAAGCGGCCTCTCTGGCCTGCCCCCCCGGGGCGCCAGGGTCACGGAGGGACAAGACGGTGGCACCCAACGAACCACGACAGCGCTTTCTACACAAGCCGAGAAGAGGCAGCGGCCCAGAAAATAGACGGCTTTGGATAACACAGGCTGTGGCATCGTCAAGGGGAGTGACTTGAGAATCGGCCACGGCAACACGCGCGGAAACCCTCAGCCCTGAACTCGGAAGGCTGCAATGTGCGCTGTGGGCTGAGAAGGCGTGCGCGGCGGGCCCACGCTCTTAGGGAAAAACGGAGCGAAACAAGGTCTCCTGGGTGGTGCCAGGGTTGGGCTAAAAGTCAGGACAAGGCGCCAGGGAGGGCATCGCCAGGAGAGTCCCACAAGCAGCGCTTGGGTGACTCGGGGGCGTCTGCGGGACCTGAGCCTGAGAAGGGATTTTAATGTCTCAGTTGTCAACCCGCTGCCCCCACCCCCGAAGAGCACGGAATGACCCCTGCCTTGTTACCCGCATCAGGGGCGGCTTCATTCACTAAATCGGCATTTAGAGAAAAGCAGTCCGGCCCGAGGGGCGGGAGACAAACACGGCTCCAGCCAGGTGGCGAGACTGATGGCAGCTGGAGTTTATTTTGCCGATTTTGTTCGGTGACTGACGGTGAGAGAGATGAGGAGCCAACGGTGACTCGAGTGACCTAAACAGGTGACCAGGTACGTGGCACCCAAGCGGCCAGCTTTCCGGAAAGCACGTGGAGCTGCCACAGCTGCGAGCTCCCCGCACCCCTCCGGAGTGGACACGACAAGCTCGGTCCTGTCCCTTCTGGGGCTGCCCCACGCAGGGCCAGCACGTCACCCCTGTTCTCTAGACAAGGACTGGAGTCCCGGACATGGTGTCTCAGATGCCAGGAACCCGCCACACACCGCCAGCCTCAGCCTGCACCTGCCCCACCCCAGGCACCCGGACCCGCTCAGAGGCCCTCGCTAAACATGCCCCTGCCGGGCACTCACAGCATCCACCTCGAGACATGAACTCAACTCTCTCCTGGTCCCTTTCTCAGAGGATCCTCCCTGGAACCCCCGCCAGGGTCCTGGGGTGACACTTTCAGAGGAAACTGCGTTTCCTTCCTCTAAAAGCAACTTTCGCAGGGGAGGGCGGAGCTCTTCTGGTGACATTAGGAGACCGGGCTCTATTCAGCAGTTTCATGTACGCCCAGCAAGAACCAGCAGGTGCTCCAACCAAGTGCAGGAGGAGGAATCAAGCTGAGCTCTGCCTGGCCGTTGAGGCGCCGCCCTCCGCCCCCAGGCCCCCTCAGTACAGCCCCTGGAGCAATGGCTCCTTCTCGCCCCACCAGGCTGGGCGGTGAAGCCAGGGACTCCGCGGGGCTGTCTGCTCTCCAGGAGGAGCCCTGCAGCCTCGGGAAGCCAGCTCTCATTACATTCTTTTGATTCTGGGCTTCCCTCCGATCCAGAGAGGCGGGAAAGGGATTTGCTGGTTCGCCCCACCACTGTGGAAACAAAGTGAGTACAGTTTTCATTAGAGACATCTACCAAACAGCACTGAGAGCTGAGATGCTGGCTCATTAGGAGAACGCAGCTTCCAGAGAATCCACCACTCCTCCTTCATCTGGCGGCGGCTGCCATGGCCACAGCGCGTCCAACACTGATGCCCTGGTTTCCAAAATTCACTTGGAACTCTGTCCGCACCCGCCCCACCCCCAGCGGTTCCAACTCTGAGAATGAAGGCATGAAACACATGGAAATACAATGTTCCAATCCATCTAATTAATGCATTAAGTCCCTCATTTGCATAGTACAAATTTCCCTCTATGCTTTCAGTTGCCAGGCAATCGCCCGCCTCAAGAAAATATATTAACAGTTAAAGCAGAGCTTAAACAATAAGGGAAATAACAGACATCAGCCCAATTTCAAAAAGCATATTTCAGAAAGGAAAGGGAAAATCCATCATGTAAAGGGACAGAGGCACAAAGTAGCTGAATCACCCGATTTTGAAAACAATTGACAAAGTAGCTGAATCACTCAGTTTTGAAAACAATTCACCCATGGTATGTAAAACCACCTCTCCTCCCCTGGCAGGCAGGAGGACATCAGCTCCAGTCTGTGCAACAGATGCACCAGCAAGGCCTCTGTGCACCCCCAACGCAACTTGGTCAAAAAGGGCAGAGAAGCCAGCCCTGCCTCTACGGGGCAGGACACGAATCTGACCAGACACACACGATCTTCCACAGCAGCACTGGTGGTGAAAACCAAAATGCGCCCAAATAGGGGTAAGGTTTTGAGCCCAACTTATAATGAACAAAGCACTATAAACCATACTGAATCACTGCAAAGAGGCAGATGGAGAGACAACTTTGATCCTAAATTAATCCCAGCTTCTGTCAAAATGCCATGTGGACCACAGGCTGGAGGGGGTGTGGCGGGGCAGGCCCACTGTGCATGCTCTCTGAGCCAGACTCACACGTGGGCACCCAGGTTTCACCTTTTGGGGGGCTGGAGGGAGCAGTGCCCAGAAAGTGAGGCTGTGCCACCTTTCCCCCCTCAGATTTCAAATGAACACCGCACAGATGGAGCGTGAAGATGCCTGTGTTCCAGTGCCCTCGCTCAGGCTGAAAAGGACATTTCAAAATGCAGCCCTGTTAGGTTTATTCCCAAGTATTTGATTTTTTTTTTTTGTTTCAATAATAAAAGGAATGGTTAGAGGCAAAGGACCTATACAAAGAAAACTATAAAACACTATTAAAAGAAATAGACAAAAAGAAATGGAAAGACATCCCCTGCTCATGGATTAGAATTAACATTATCAAAATGGCCATCCTACCAAAAGCAATATACAGATTCAATGCTATTCCAATTAAAATTTCAATGTCATTCTTCAATAAATAGAAAAAATATTGATGAAATTCATATGAAGTCACCAAAAACCCCCGAATAGCCAAAACCCTCCTGAAAAAAAAAAAAAGGGGGGGGGAATGGAAGCATCACTCGCCCAGATTTCAAACTATACTATAAAGCCATAATAATCAAAACTGCATGGTTTTGGAACCAGAACAGACACACAGACCAATGGAACTGAATAGAAAAACCAGAAATAAACCCACCGATTTATGGTCAACTAATCTTTGACAAAGAAAGAATATGCACTGGAGCAAAGAAAGTTTGTTAAATAGTACTGGGAAAACTGGGTCCTACATGTAAAAGAATCTTGACTACTTCCTCATGTCATGCACAAAAACCAACTCAAAATGTATTAAAGAACTAGACATAAGACCTGAAACCATAAAATATATAGAAGGAAATATAGGCGAAACACTACATGACATGCACATCAAAGACATCTTTACAGACACATCACCCAAAGCAGTGATAGTGAACACAAAGATAAACAGCTGGGACTACATCAAATTAAAGAGCTTCTGCACAGCAACAGACAATAACAAAAACAAAGAGAAACCCCACCGACTGGGAGAAAATTTTTGCACACAACACTAATAAAGACTGATCACAAAAAATCTACTAAGAGCTGATGAGACTCAACAAGGAAAATAATCCAGTCAAAAAAAAAAATGGGCAGAAGAGCTAAAAAGAAACTTCTCCGAAGAGGAAATGCAAATGGCCAACAGACATATGAAAAAATGTTCAGCATCACTTGTAATCAGGGAAATGCAAATCAAAAGTACCATGAGATACCATCTCACACCAGTGAGAATGGCACATTCTAGCAACAAATGTTGGCGAGGATGTGGAGAAAAAGGAACTCTCCTGCACTGCTGGTGGGAGTGCAAACTGGTCCAACCACTATGGAGAGCTGTGTGGAGATTTCTGGACCTACTAAACATAGAGCTTCCATAGGATCCAGCAATTCCACTCCTAGGTATCTACCCAAAGGACATAGAAACATTAATTCCAAAGGGTGCCTGGCACCCCTATGTTTATAGCAGCACTGTTTACAATAGCTAAGCCTTGTAAACAGCCCAAATGCCCAAAAATAGATGACTGGATCAAGAAGATGTGGTCCATATACACCATGGAATATTACTCAGCATTCAAAAAAGATAAACACATGCAATTTGCAGCAACATGGATGGCGCTGGAAGGGATCATGCTCAGCGAAATAAGCCAGAAAGAAAAAGAAAAATACCGGATGGTCTCACTCATAGCAGGAATCTAGAAAACTTAAATAAGGGACCAGGAAAATGAATAACTATAAGAAAGTGAAAATCAAAATCAACAAACAACTATGAAGCAGAGACACTCTATGGGAGGGTGGGGGGGCGGGGAAAGGAGGAATTGGGGGTCAAAATAAGGGGGTTGTAATTGTATAGGGAAATATAAAAATAAAATTTAAATTAAAAAAAGAAAATTACTGGGAAGGAGGAATTTTCACCCTTTTCAGATGAGTACACTATTTGGACAGCTAAAACTTATTTCTCTAAGCTATGGAAGGGTGGAAACTGCAGAGTCGTTACAGAAGCCAGCTGAGTGTTTTCAGCCCGCACACCATACACATTAGAAAGGCACCTGTTCACAGGTAAGGGTTGCTGGCAGTTACTTGGATCTCAAAGTCATCTTATGATTCGTATGCCAGTCATCAAACCCCAGGCTCCCGCCCCCAGCCTGCAGCAGACCCCTGGCTACCTTCCCCACCCTCCTCTGTCCTCTGCCTCCCTGCCACCCCAGTCTGGCCACACCCGACTGCTCCTGGAGGGTCAAATGCAAGCACTACCTCTCCTCCTGCAACCTTTCTCTGGGCCTGTCCTGGCTGTCCATGTCCTGGCCCATGGTGAGGTGTCATAAAACTGCACATGGCACCTTCTGACACCTCACAGTGGGCCAGGATGTGAAGTGGGGTCCACCTTCTGACCTTCCCCCCCACCATACAGCACAGACTGGACTGTCAGGCTACCACGTTGGGATTCAGGAACAGGCATGCTGGTACCTGCTTCACTAGCCCTTGGGGCAAGCAGGGAATCCCTGGTGTGTCATGTCTGCCAGTTTTTTGGGGTGACTATGCCTATCTGGTCAACTTCAAGCAGCCAATATGACGTCACAATGTAGTGTTGGGGAGAAACAAGCAAAAGCTCCGCATCATGAAGTGTTTTCATGATGCAGATAAAAGGGCAGAGACCTTCACCGTCAGAGCCCACTGCAAAGAGCTGAATTTGGTGGCTGGTATTTCTAAGATGTCCTTTAATATTATTTAAATCTCAATCCTTAGTTTGCCAGAGAACTCAGTTTTCTGGAAATCTGAAGATTAGTCCCTCTGAGCTAGTACGAAGAGGCCGCTTTCCTACTCCAGCAGCTTTGTGTGACTTTGGAGAAATGACATCTGGGGCTTCCTCACCTGGAAACACAGTCACACACTTGAAGTCACTGACAGATTAAACATGAAGATCTTGCCTCGCCGACAGAGCAGAGGGTAGCCCTGGCTGCGGTGTTAGTTCCAGAGCATAAACCCACGGCCCTCAGCACTGCATTTTATGTTAAGGGCTTACTTTATCTTTGCAGGATAATTTCTTTAATTCTTTGTATCTCATTTTATTCCTAGTCATCTCCCTGTGTAGACATTGGGGATTGTAGTCAGAAAACACTGCCCAGGCCTGGGCATTGCCTTTTGTCTTACCGTAGATCAGCGTCCACAGTGGACACAACTACCAGATCCGCAAGATTATGTTCCATGAAGTGTTTACGGAAAGCAAGATGATGTCCCAGAAAAGGTTCCAACAGGTGGTTTGGTGGAGACTGGTCATGGTCTGCTAACGTAGCCCATACCAGAGACTGGTCACGAGTCTGGACAAATATGTTTAAACTTCACATGTGTAGGATGCTTTGAGGTGCTGTCACGAATTACAAGCGCTAAAGCAAGCACGTGAGGAGCAGATGCTGGCAGTCGTGGAGAGCCAAGCCCACACCACCTCTGCCGAGGGAAACTGGATGTGGTAACCCTTGTAAAACTTGGGCAAGCCATGGCCAAGCAACAGAGCTGCTGGTTGCCAAGTTCAGCCAGACTCACTCCCAGGCAGAGCTGTCTGCGGGACCATGATCCTCACCTGCAGAGTCCTTCCTACTCCACACAGCTGGCCATCTCTCCCTTTCAGACGAGCAGTCTGCTCATATGCACGCTCTGCAGAGTTCCTGAGCTGCTCCAGCACCTCGCTGCTTCATCATTCCATCTCCCCTCCCAGCCAGGCCTCCATTTTTTCTTGCAAGTTCACAGTATCCTATAACCTAACCCAGCACAACAGACTCACTGACCCTTTGCAACTGTTCTCCCTCTCACTGAACTTCAAAGACTTGTCCATGTTCACGACCTACTTATTCACTTCTCGTTATCCACACAGTCCATGAAACCAGTGTTTTGGCCTCACTCCTACTGGAACCTTCTGGAACAAGCCAGTGCCTCCCATCACACACACTGGTCACCCTTCGGCTGTCTCCAGGGCACACCTCTGCCATATTTGACCTGGACTCTGACCAGGTTCTCGTATTAAAATTATACTCATTAGACGACTCAACGAGCCCTAGTTTGCGAACGACCTCTGTCCATGTCCCACGTCTTTCCACACCCACATTTCCAGCTGTGGATGAGTCTTCCAAATGAATCCTAAAAAAAATGCTTAAAATAGAACACAGCTGTCTCCCAAAAAGATGTGTTTCAGCTCTATTCTACTTCAGCTAATGACATCATTAAGTGCCCAGGAGATGAAATACCTGACAATCATCTTTGATGGGTTCCTTTATTTCACACCCACATCCAAAGTCCTGGCACCTCCCGGTAGAGAACTGAACCTCTTCCTCCCCACCGGTGCATCCACCCCCACTCCAGAGTGGTCTCTGTTCCAGCCCTCCAGAGTCTGTTCCTCCTCCACTTGGCCCTACAAGCCCTTTCTGGTTCCTTACCATGATGTGTTCCTTTCAGAGGCTTATCAGGACGGGGTAAGGTGCAGAGCTCCAGCCCAACACGTAAATATTTGTTCAGCCTCCACCTCCCTTCCCAGCACTGCTCGCCATCCACTGCTTTCCCCAGAACACCTGTCTGTGCTTGCTGCATAGCTCCAGCCCCTCCCGACTCAGGGCTGCTCCCTCATCCTCCCTCTTCGGGTCGTCTGTCTGGGACACAGTGCAGCTCCCCCAGAAGCCCTTCCAAATCTCCCGCTTGGACGCTCCTTTCCTCCGTGAATGCTGGGGGCCGCCACAGAAGCTAAGACCCATCTATCTGCAGCAGGTCCTTAGGGCTGTGTATGTACAGACACCCTCTTGTCATGGCGCCCTGCTTCATTGCACCTTTTTTACAAATTAAAGGTTGAGCCTTTTCTTAATCTGTGCACTCGCACTGTTGAGATGACATATTCCCAGCACAAGTATATTCACTACTTATAGTTACTGATCAAGAACAGGCTGGCTTTGGCATAGTCTATTGTGGTTGGTTCAGAAAATACCGATGAGATGCACCTGAATCACTCTGGTGTCACAGCGCTGCACCTTAATTGTTTTAATCACTCACAGCTCCTAAGTGTTTTACACAAGAGGAGGTACTTAAGAATTTGATCAAGGATCTTGTGAAAGTCTTCTGTGCCAATCTCGATCCACCTGCCCTTATCACAGCAGAGTTATTGAGGAAGCAAACCCTGCCCTTTCTGTACTTCCCCTTCAAACCTTAGTCCCGTTTACGGCACCTGTTTCCTGGTCAAATAATTATTTAACTTGTGCTCAGATGTTTTATGATCAATTAGGCAAATTTCAGGACTCCCTCTTACTAGTGCCTCCGCCCTATCCGTGCCCTTGAAAACCTCATAAAATGTAAAGCTCCTCCCTCCCCAGCCCAGCCCCTAAACGCGGTACCCAGGAACTTATGCACAAGTTCAGGTTCAGATACCAACTCCTCCCTTCAAAGAAATCACTAGATTTCACATGAAGGATCCTTGAATTAGGGCGATGTCTACAGTTATCAGAATTATATATGCAAACTATAAATGCAAGCAATCACTTAAAATTGATAAGACAACTATAAAAAAATTAAGCAGTTAAGACTATTTAGAAATCCCCTGACTCATCACAAGTCTCACGACTCCACCAGAATTCCAGCATGTTCAGAAAGCAGCTTCCCTTCAGCATTTTTAATAGCATACACGTCAAAAATGTGTTTCTAATGTTTTCCGAACTGCTTACGGACAGCTAATATTAGTTAATGGTTCTGATGAGTCAGTTTAATGTCTACTTCCATGACCTCTAAATACAAGTAAAAAATATTTTAGATCTAAGAAATTGGAATGGTGCTTGGAGCATCTGACTTTGTATAGAATCTTTTCAACCTAAGGGAAGAAAAGGAATCATAACAGCAATGAAAACCATTTTCCTAGAATATTCTGTAATATAGTTCTCATGACAAACTAAAAAAACTATTACAACGTTAGCTATTAAACTCTTACAAAGCCTGGATCTGCTTGTTTATAAGGTTTAATGATTTATTTTTACACAAGAGCTGGGGTACAGGCCTGAGGCATGGGACTGTGAGAGGATTCACGAGAGACGGAGTGGGGAACAAGACAGACTCTGAAATACACTGCTGAGGGGGAGCAGCAGGCGAGACAGGAGAGGTCTGCTGTGCCATGTGGGTAGCTCCCTGGCAGGCCGGGAATTGAACCGCGCTGCAGAGGCTGCGGACCGCTTCACATCGCGGCGCTCAACTGGCTGTGCCACCAGGGAGGCCCTGTTTATAAGGTTTATTCCTCAGTCTGTTTATTGCAGACAAGAGTACGCTTCCCATCTCTCATTCCTCCATTTCATTCAATCATCCTTTCAACAGGATTTGTAGAACACTTGTGTCGGCGCTGAACTTGGTTCTAGAGAAACAAGATTGGGGCCTGCCTCCTCCTTTTTTCATAAAACCTAGGGAGGGCCTCCCCCGGTGGTGCAGCGGTTGAGTGCTGGCTTGCAAGGCTGCTTGCAAGGCTGCACACAGCCTCTGCAGCGCCAGTTTGATCACTGGCCACTGGCGAGGGTCCCACAAAAAAAAAAAAAAAAAAAAAAAACCCCTAGGGATCAGGTGACAGACAAGTAAAACATTTTGAAAGTACAATTGTTCCACGATTTCAAGAGGCAGGACTCCCGGCTGATGTCCACAGTGAAGTCCTTTGACGGGAGTGGGGCCGGCAGTCACCCCAGTAGGTTGGTAATATGGGGGAAGGGGTGACACCTTTCTTTTAACACTGTTATGATACAGGTAGACAAGGAGATATGTTTACTAAAATTATGCATGATGCATGTAATTATAAATATTATACAATTTATATCATTATAAAATAACTATAAAATACATAATGACACAAATGTTAATGATACCAATGCTATCTCTTATCACTCATCTTTGGCCCATGATCCCTCCATGTTGACTCAAGTCACACCTACGCATGAGTCCCTGATACTTTCCTAAGAAGAAGCAGGACATTTCCAACCAGGAAAAGCAGCTACCAGCTCCACTCTCCAAAGACAACATTCTAGAATCTGACGAGCTCTTCTTTGCAAAAACTTTAGAGTTCCACACTCACATCTGTTGGTCAAACGATTTAGTTGCTGCAGCCCACAGCAGAGAACATCTCAAAACCTAAGGTGACACAGATTGTCACTCACACTGTAATACTGAGTGTTACTCCTGCCTCTTGTTCCTGGTTAACGTGAGGACCTTTGTCTCACTGAAAGCTCAGCCACGGGTGGAGGTGAGAGACGTTTCAGTGTAGGAGTGTCCTGCAAGGAGGGAAACGAGGAGGGCTGACATGGGGAATCGGGCACGTATGTCACCAGCTGGTGCTCACGAGAGCACGAACCTGTGGGTTCTTTAACCCCAGCAAGACACGTAAGTGGATTTGTTGCTTTAGAAAAGTCACTGTCGGGCCTCCCTGGTGGCGCAAGGAGTTAAGTCTCAGCACCATGAAGCTATTGGCAGCCACTGCAGCACGAGTTCCATCCCCGGCCAGGGAGATACACG